AAAAAGGCGTACATAATTGACATTAAAAAAAATATTTAGGTACCAATGATAAAGGTGATAATTAAATTGTATTTATTACAATGTTACGTTAATTCAATTAGATATTTTTATTTAATTTAATAATCTTATGACGATTATATATTTATGACGATTTGCACGATATTGATTGAAGGAGAGAAAGGGATCAAGTGAAAGAGTTTGTGTATTTGGGTTCTACGTTTACGTGTGATGGAAAATGTGAAAGAGATATTGAAAGAAGAGTGAACGCAGGGAATCAGGTGAATGGTGCCTTGCATACCTTCATGGGCAGCCAGAAAGTGTCTAAAAAGGCACGATTGGCTGTGCATGGGGGGTGCTAGTTCCTACACTTATGTATGGTAGTGAATGTTGGGTTTGGCAGAAGAAGCATGAAAGTAGAATTAATGCAGTAGAAATGAGAGCTTTGAGGAGTATGGCTGGAGTGACTTGGATGGATAAATTACGGAACAGTGTGATAAGAGAGCGTTGCGGCGTGGAAGAAGATATAGTGACAAAGATAGAGAAAGGGATGCTTAGATGGTTCGGACATGTAGAGAGAATGAATGAAAGAAGAGTGACAAAAAAGATTTATAACGCGAGTGTGAGCGGGCAAATTGGTATGGGCCGACCAAGGAGAACTTATCATGACCAAATTGAGGACATCCTAAAGAAGGGCCAGGTCAAGAGTACCCTTAACCGACGAGCGTGTATGAAAGCATTGATGCGTGTTGATGAGGCAAGAGATGTGTGTCAGGACCGTAGCAAGTGGAAGACTGTTGTCTCTGCCTACTCTGATGGGAAAAAGGCGTGAAGTATATGTATGTATGTATGTAATAATCTTAAGAAACATTATTTCACATATTTATTCGAAATAGTAACTGCGTAAGATTAATAATTGTTAAAATGTGGAAGCGAAAGAACTCTTTTTTAAGAGAACTAGTTAATCTTGTTTAATATTTTTGGAGTAATATACTTTAAATATATATTCAATATTTTATTAATTTGTTTTCACACCACACACATTTGTAAATGTATGTATGTAGATATTGCAAATATTATGTAAGTATTAATTTGATCTAAGAATACACACTGCAATAATAGGATATACACATAAGAGTGATTACACAAGGTGACTTATAAATAACTGCCTCCGTGGTCGAACGGTTACCACGCCGGAGTGCCACGCAGAGGCCCCAGGTTCGATTCCCGGGCCGGGAGAAATATTTGTATGACCTACATTTATTTCTCTCGTGAGTTTGGGTGTAATTTGTGGTTGTCTATGTGTGTGTCCATGGCACCCGCGACACAGGGTTTCCCTAGTGCGGGGCTATGTTGAGTGTGTGCGTTATTATTATTATTGTTATTATTATTATTATTACTTTTAACACACACACTTGCGATAGATGCAAACGCGCGACTGCATCGATGCAATCGCCTATAAATCCCAAGCGTAGCAATGCAATCGCGCGTTTGTATCGATGCACTCGCGCGCTTACGTCGCGTATGCATCACTGCTTCCGGTTTTGAAGGGTGCTGGTGAAATTACAAGCACATGGGACTTGTCAACTTATGTCTCAGGGTGACGGGCGCAGTGGTAGTGCCCCTCAGATCTTTGCGATTTAAAGCTCTGAGTGGCACTGCAAATGTTATGGACACGCGTGTAGCTTACCATCCGGCGCAATTCCAACTTTCAGGGAATACGCAAAATAAGTGAAGTATATTTGGTGTTTTTTACTCTTGAAGCACTAAAAATAATAATAATAGTAAATAGCCCTGTTAGTCCTGGAAAATAATTATGAAATATTCAGCTTTATAATATCAAAATTGTTGTTAAGTACGTCATTTACATAACAACGCGGGTAATTTTTACCAAGTAGTGTGGCCTAGACTTGGCGAAATTAACGAGAAGGGTCAGTCCATGTAATTTTTATTGCAAGATTTTTATTGTAGAGGTAGAAACAAAGAAAATGTAAGGGAAAGCCCAAAAGGGCCTGTATTCGTGTATATATTACTACTACTTTTTAAGCAGTTATGTTTACATGATTGAAGGCCCCGTCTTGTATCTTCGAGAATTTTGATGGGAGTCACGACAGAATGAAGCAACGTAAGAATGACGAAGAAACAAAATTAGAGAACGGTACAAAATTTCAACAGTAAATGGCCAGGACCCAGAGAAAAGTATGATAAAAAGGTGGGTTGATGATGAAAGAAGGCGCATCGTCACGATGTTTTACGGTATACACTCATTTTATTACATTTTTAACAGACTTAAAAATAGGAGAAGATTATACGTTCGGCTGTATGCTTAGAATAATAACGCATAGAATGATAGTTTCATATCAAACGAACAAGTGAGGCAAAAATCAAATTCATGTAGGCTAGTTTTAGTAGTAGGTTAATTTTCGGTTTTAGTGAATATTTATATAAAAATACAAGTTGAAACGCGTTACTTCCTTGTGGAATGTGATGTTAGTATCTATTATATGTTTATCTGACGTATTTTTACACTCATTTACCGCATATTTCGTCATTTTTAGCTAAAATTCTGGAGCTGTTCGCGGTGCAAGTTGACCTTGAGCACTGACGGCCCGATCGCTCGTGTAGGCCCTTTGAGCGCGCTTCAATTTGCCTCACTTAGCGTGTGCGGACTAGGTTTCTATGCGTTATTATTCTAAACATGATTGCATATGTTTCTCGATTTCTCCTGCAATTTTATTTTGGACCGATTTTGAAAGTTCTCTGTTTTATTTGAAAGGGTGCACTCTCGTAGTGGTCCCATTGTCACCAAGTCAAAATCTGATGAGGATACACCATGGAAAACGAGGAAAATCATCAAATTTTATAGGCATGTCCGTGTACTCACCGATTTCTCAATTAATTGTGGACCGATTTAAAAATATTTCTTTCTATTACAGACTTTCGTTGGGTTCTTTTCGGCAATCACAAATTACTAATTATTTCAATCACCGTCACCAAAACAACCAAAAAAAAGTATAAAATGTACAAAAGAGTCCGTAACAGTTCCATTGTCACCCAGAAGTCGGAGTCGGAAATAGTTTTTTTTTTTTTCAATGAAAAATTTATAATTATTCAAATTAGGTTACTTTCTTTGTAAAGATGCGATATGACCAATATGTGGTTACGTTTGGTTGAAATTTCATAGTCTCAAAAGTAATGAGAGGAAAATGTTTTTTTCTTTTAAACCTAACTTAACCTAACCTAACCGAACCTAATCGTGTCTTTGCAATAAACATTCAACATATCATGAAAGAACAACTGTTTCGTTATAATTCGGTGTAATGAAAATTCGAACACACGTTATTACAGGCAAAAAAAAATTCGAGTTTGTGATAGGTTACCCCAATATATAATTATTAACATTTGCTCATACAAAGAAATGTCGCACTTATAACTCCGCGTATTCGGTCGCTTATTTTGATTCTTAGCCCTGATCATTAAGCAGATAATACCAAGTAAACCCGCGATGCGATTGTAATAATATTCAAAAAGGCCAACAGATGGCAGCTATTACATTTTTGTCAAGGTTATTGCTTTTGTTCAGGCGTTCCTGTACTTTTAATATTTTAAAGTAAAACTCAGTTACTTTTTTTTACTTAGTTTTGAGAATAAATTCAAAGAAATTCAAAAAACCTCCTGAACACTCCTAAAATGTTGTTTAAATAGATGTGCATTTCTTTTTTATAATAATTATTATTATATTATGATATCAAGTGACGGAGCGAACAAGTCGTGCACTGGTGATGAACGACACGCCTGTCCATAGCAGTTCCAGTGCCACTCTGAGTTTTTAATAGGGACACTGCCACTGGGCCCATCACCCAGAGACAAGTTGACAAGTCCCATTTGCTTATAATTTCACTAGCACCGTTACCCTGCAAAACCGAACTGCCTCAAATTTCGAGATTCAATTATTTACATATTTTTTATTCAAGTGTCCCCATCTATAGTTTTAAATATTTACTACGGGTGAATTTGTATAAATTGATACCCAAAGTAATAATGTAGAAAAAAAAATACATGGGTACACCAAACTTTTTCGATAATATTTAACTTAATTTATTAACGTAGGAAGTAGTTACAAAAATGTAGTCAAGTAAACTAAAAGAACTTGGTGGTTACGTTTGACTGAATAAAATAACATAAAGAAGTTTTCACACCATTCGTCACAAGAGCAAGAAGATAATAAAGTCACAGTCAGAATAAAGATTTTTATAATTTTCAAATTATGATTTTCATAACATATGTGCAAAAAATATGCCTCTTTCGAATGTCAAAAATAATTAATTGCCTACGCGGATCCCATATTTCAATTTGTGGGCTCCTGTGCGGCAATAATCGCAAAATTATGAGAAGCGCATTTAATTGTTCGTTGAATGCTTTATTCTCGCATAAAAATTTGGTTTGACTGCCCCAATATTAAACTTAAAAACACTTTTAACTATGCCACAATTAAACCACAAAACTTATACCACAACTTAACCACATAATCTATGTTTTAGGTTCGACTTACACAAAGCAAATTGACAGCCCAATTAGGCTTGTGCCAGATAACTGACCTATCTCATTGCGGCGATATTGAAAAACACGGAAGCCAAAATGCTGTCGGCCCGCTGAGCAACGGGGCTTGGAGGCGACAAGGCCGGGATTATCTAAAAGGATTATTTGGCCGAACGTTGAGCGATAGCAGAGGTCGGATCACGCATCGACCCGTATATAATCGTCCCGTACAATCTATACCACATTGGATCTTTTTGTGGCTTCCCAAGAAACCTTACGAAAAACTGCTATATTTTTGGTATCTCCACAACCAACACAAGAATAATTTTTTAAGTCTTATTATGCAGTCTATTTACCGTGAACTGTGAAAGACTTAATCAACTCAAGTTTTTTTTTTACAAATTGCTACAAAGTTAATTTGGGTCACGAAGTTCATCATTTATATTTAGTTATAAGGTACTCACTCAGCTTCGTTGTTCTCGAAAATGACGTATCCCTGATCAGACTCATACTGCGATCCGCTCTTAGCAGTACCATCTTCCGTCCAATATGGCACTCGCACTCTCCCCCTCGCGCCTGCCGTTCGCACAACACGCAGATCGAATGTCCCCACGGACTCGGTCAGTTCAAAATCCCTTTGAGGAAAAGAAAACACACCCGAATGGTCGTCATCCAAAATAACAACCGTCGCCGTCGATGGCGAGGACAGCGTCGCCCCGCGCGGAGCTGTCAAACGCACATGAAAATACTCGTCAGCTTCGAACACATCATCGTCGATTACTTGAACTGTGAATGTCTTCTCTGTTTCGCCATGTCCAAAGACCAAAGTTCCTTGTGTGGCCACGTAGTCTGATCCTGCTTCAGCTGTTCCATCTTCAGTTGTATACTGCACAGTTACTTCTCCCGACAAATCGCCACTTCTGACAACTCTCACTTCGAACGATCCACAATTTTCCATGACAGTGTAATGATCTGGGTCAAATCGAATAGTTGGACCGCGTTGCTCCATTGACGGTGAACTAGATTCTCTGCGCTGCAACTCTGCTTTGACTTCACTGAGATCACTCTGAGCTCGTTCTGATATTTTGCGTGAAAAATCTCCTCCACCAGTCATCTTTCTCGTTGCAGCTACTCTGTAAAATGCGCGTGATTTTGGGCCACGAGCCATCAAAGCCTCCAAAGCCATACGTTCTACCGTTTCAATATCTTCATGAGGATGCAGTTTTCTCAGCTCGCGCAATACTGTTATGTATTCTTTGCGTGATTTGTCCAGTTCACGCCCTTCCTCATCATCTGACGCAAAATCATCACCTCCTGGTTTCAAGGCCATTTCTACCGAGCCATCACCTTCACCTTCGACAATAACACCGCGTTCGTTCACCCGATATCCTTTCTTCAAATACTTATAGACAAGTAGCCTCCGATCCGCAATGTAAGCTGTCATCACTGTCGCCGGAAAGAAAAGGAAGGTGACAGCTCCCTCCCATACTTCGACTTCACTTGGAGATATCACTGCTAGTATAAGATATAGCCACACATACGCAAATATTGACCAAGTTGCAGTCACCAGGAATACTCTAAGATGTTTAATTTTTCGCACCTCCCCGTCAGGTATCACACCGACGCAGATGGCGATAATTACGAACAGGTTATAAGCGGCCGAACCCACGATTGTTCCAGGCCCTAATTCACCAGCTTCGAAGTTCTTTCCGGTTATCTCTATAACCGATAATAGGATCTCAGGTGCACTAGACCCTAGAGCCATCAGTGTTAAATTGGCAACCGTCTCATTCCAAACTCTAACGACAACAATCTGCTCGCTGCCGTTCCGTCGCACGCGCACCTCCTTCTCTCTCGAAGTAATAACTTCGATAGCGGCCATGAAGCGGTCCGAGACGATAGAAACGCCAATGAAGAGATACATGAGAGAGACAAAGTAAATGATGCCGCGAAGCGCGATTTCCAAAGTTGAGACATCTTCCAAAGGGCGCCAAGCTGGCAGGATTAGTCCGTCGGAGCACTGGAGCACGCGGTGAGGGGTAGAGTTCCGGGGGGCGGAAGTGACGAGTGGCGGCTCGGCGCGCGCCACCACGCAGCAAGCCGCGAGTGCGGCAAGCGCGGGCCGCATGCCGCGTTACGAGCCGCGTCTCGGTGTGCGGGCCACCGGCGCTGACCGAGGCCGGCGCCCGACTGAACGTCGCGACGCGCCTCGCCCCCCACGCTACATTTACGCGTATCGTTCCAACTCACGAAGGCTTTCGACAGCGTCGGTGAATTTCCTGCACCGAACTCGCACACACGTATTGCGAACCCTCTCGTCCGCTGTACTTTTATTACCATGCGGGGCTGTAAAGTTGAGGCCCGCAGCGTAAAAAAACATTTCTTCGTCGAAGATTTGGTTTGTTTCTAAACTTACTTTCAAATTGGCAGTGAAACGAGTATGAAATTTTCTCAGCGGTAATTATGTTTCTCGTGTTATCTTCTCTGTGTACGTAACAACATTTTGTTAGCGCAAACTTTATTACACATCTGAGATTAAGAAAGCGCCTGCTATTTATGGAGCACACGCAAAGCGAAACACGCTAACCACAAATTTATAATGGATTTGTTGGAACTCGAGGAAATTGAAGGGCTTTTCATGGATCAATACGATTATGGTCAACCACGTGGTTATTTATGCACTCACAGTTGAACAAAACTTTTTTTAATAAATGTGGAAATATCTTAATTTGTTCGTACATAACATACACTATGAAACAATTTTTTGGATTTAAAACGCGTGTAATTCTTTTATCAAACAAATGCAACGTTTCAGGCCCTTTTCAGGCCCCATGGTCACGGCTGACCGAAATGGTGAAGTTAAGATTACTGGGCGTCATGTATGTTAGTTTCAAATTATTTCGTTGTGTCAATGGTAGGATTTTGTACGCTCGGTATTCTACTAAAAATTAAAAGTAGTCGCTTGTCAGTGAGCTACCATTTAACTGTCATTGCAATTTTTTGGTATTCTGCTGTTCAATGGTGCCGATAGCACATCGATGACAGTCTACTGATATTTTATATTTATTTAATTTGAAGACTAAATGGCTGATAAAAATTAAGTTATTTTAGTAGCAATTTTTGTTATTATATATTTTATAATATCAAGTGACGGGACGAACAAGACGTGCTCGTGATGATAAGCTACACGCCTGTCCCTAAAAGTTGCAGTGCCACTCAGAGCTTTAAATCGCAAAGATCTGAGGGGCACTGCCACTGCGCCCGTCACCCTGAGACATAAGTTAACAAGTCTTTAGTAACCGTTTGGTATACATGACTCATTTTGTGATAATTTCGTGTATTGGATCATTTTTGCTTAACTACGTCCAATTTAGGAGATTAACTTTTCTAAATTGGTTTTGGTCTAGGTATTTTATAATACCTAGACCACCTAACCTATACAAAATTCCCTGGTTTAATACAAGGCAGTTGGTGCGGTTGTTCGGCATAAACAAAATAATCGCTAAGCTCTGTGGGGCACTGCCGCTGCGCCTGTCACCCTGAGACTTGACGTTGACTAGTTCCATGTGTCTGTAGTTCCACCTGCACCCTTGCCCTCTAAAACCGGAATGCAGTAATGCTCACATTACTGTTTGACAGCAGAAATAGGTAAGGTGGCAGTACTTCCTGGACGAGCTCGTTCACAAGAAGCTCTACATCTACTAAAATAAATTTCCATGGCAGTTTTAGTAAGGCATGTGATGAAATGGACAAATGTCATCACCGTCATTCCACAGACATTTTTTTGATACTCAACTGCCATCGCAACTAGATTTCAGCAGAATAACAATTATTATCATAATTGCAATATATTATTAGAGAAGTTTCAATGAAATTACAATAATTAGAATACAACGAGAGCGTTACTACTAATTCTCTTGTTGTATTCAAATTATTGTTTACAAGTCTACACTTTGAGGCCCTGGTTGATGACTATCTCATTCAGCCGTTGGTTTGTTTGAAAAACGAAATATATTGACTTAAACATCAATTTCTAAATGTTACATTCAGAAATAACTGCATTTAAACAAACGAAAATACGGTACCTCCATTAGAGACATATAAACAGTAAATTTCAATAAACTCCAATGTGCAACATTGACAAATTGTAATTTATAAATGTACAAAAGTTCGAGTATATTTTTAAAACTAAGCGTAATGTCGATTCCCTGCCGAAGCGCAGCAGTGTTTCTTTTTCTTTTTTAATTTTGCAGAGTTTTGCGTATTTGATCACGCAAAAGTTTACAACTGTTTTGTTATCCAATACACTTAACATAGATAACTTTGATCCAATTATTTAGAATAGAATAGAATAGAATAGACATTTATTGCAACGCCACAACACATAGATACAAAAAAAATATTGATACTACTTAGACAAGCAAAACAAAACAAAAAGACGTAATTAACAAAATTAAAATAAAATTAAATAAGACAATAACAAACAAAGAGCAAAACAGAAAAATACTAAATATAACAACTACAAATGTTGTACTGTCATGTGTGCGGTTGTGGCGTACGCAAAAGGACTTCATTCAGCTTATGCCACAGCCGCAATTGATTGTAGCGCTGGTTTTCACCCTGAGCTGAGATGAGTGATTGAATGATTTCAGATCAAAATTTAACATGTGCGCTTAGTTACGACCTATTACAAAAAATAGAGCACCTTGTGAAAGTATTCGTCCAAGGAAGTAAGGGTACTGGTGAAATTATAGGCACATGGAACTTGTCATCTTATGTCTCAGGGTGACGGGCGCAGTGGCAAAGCTCCTAAGATCTTTACAATTTAAAGCTAGAGTGGCACTGCAACTGTTATGTACAGGCATATCGCTTTCCACCAGGCGCACGACTTGTACGTCACGTCACTAGGTATCATAAAAAAAATTTGTTAAGAACTATATACTGTTAACCTTACTATCAGTTTTAACCTTTTGTTTAATAAAGACTCATGTAGATTCTGCTGTCAAATTGTAATACACAGTTTTGCATTACTATTTATTTATTTACTACTAGTCAACCTTTTTTTTAAATCTAGTTTTAAGAGGCCTGAAACGTTCGGACGTTTATTTCGGCCTCGTAATGTATGTATATATATAAATAACTATGCTTCTTTATCTGTCACTGCTCCAATGAGAGATATTGCTCCTCATCAGAAAGCAAGACCACATGGGAGTATAGAGCTTCAGCACTCTTCGTCAACGGGTGGCTTAACATTAAATTTAGCTCTCCTACTTGCCCGACAGCCTGCAAATCGATCACATTTCATTAAATGAAGCATGTCTTCCAACTTGTTACAGGATTGGCATTGGGTGGATTCTGCCCTTCTCATGAGATAGCAAAATTTATTTAATGGAATGTGACCAAAACGCAGTCTAAGAGCAATTATTAAGTACTGTCTTGTCTGCCGTGGTCTCGGTGGAGCGAAAAGCAAAGAGACTTATGAACCGCTCACGCGATACATGCAGCCGTAGACGCATACCACACCTAGAGGTGCCGGTGATGATTTTATACCGATTTATCGGGTATCGAAGTTATAACAGGTAAAAGAACTAATATTAATTGCTATTTCGGTAACTACTCTAGCAAACCATAAAGTAACACCGTAACCGACAACATACCGTAAGTAGCGTTTTTTCAGTTTACCCTGAATATAAATGTTTATAAACTATACTTTAAGGAGTAATTTCATGGTAAACGTTAGAACCACTCAAACGGAATATTATCATATTTATCCAAGTACACCAAAAATTTCATTAGTGCTTTTTAAGTGCAGGATTGGCGGTGTATTACTGCATTTTATTTGAGATGTTTTTGTTGGTAGTACGGAGGGTATTTATTTAGCAATGCAGAATAATAATTTTTATTTATAAAATCTTGTATTTAAACTGAATCCTTTTCTATTTTGCGAAACCAAATAGCCGCCATTTTGCGGTAGGAGGAGAGCATCGCGTGAGCGGATCACAACGATTCTCTTGTGGATTCGAAGCTACAAAGTCTCGATCATCGCAGAAAAGTAGCCTGATTGTCGGTTTTCTATCGGATGCATTTCGGAGAGTGTGCGCAGGAACTTTTCAAATTGGTTCCACTCTCACCATTCCTTCTTCAGTCGACTAGAAGGTCCGGAACACTCCATCCTTATGTCGTTGATATACCACCCATTCTCACTAAGCGCTTTGCTTCCTCCTTTCTGACGCGTACGTCAAAGGAATGGAATACTCTACCGGCACCTGTATTTCCCTGTGTTTTCTCCATTGCACATTTTTGTATTTGACTTCCTGTGCGAAATGTTTGAATAATAGCGTAGTATGCACACACAAAAAAAATATAGTCTTCATCCTCTTAATAAGTCGGTTAAAAACCTATATACTTGATTTAGATCCAAAAATAATTTCATTTCCAATTTGTTTTCTATTAAATGCTTATTAATATACTCTGTGTATGTTTGACACAAACATCCGCCTGATATTGCCGACGAGCACGCTGCAAAGGAGTTGAAGTTTAATAACATCTCATATATTTTAAAGCGTTCATGACGTACTTTTAATTATTTCAAATAAAAAATTAAACAAGCACCGGATACAAGACGTCTCACGTTTATGAGACACGGAGGAAAAATATATAATGTAATAGAACATTAGGAAAGGTACTGCTGGACGAGAAGGAGTTACAAGGCCAAGCGCCAACGAGGCATGTATAGTGCTTTTCTCAAACGATGTGACGAAACAATAAACAACTAAAACCAATTATATGTATGATAGAAAAAGTAAACAAATATTAATTGAAATTAAATATGTTTGATATGTTAGGACAATTGGTAAAAGAAAATGTTATTGTAATTTTTAAGTTATTGAATAGCACGATGTTTGACCACTATGATATTCAATTATTTTTGTGAAATTACTCCACCAGTTTGTTAAAATTTTTAATACAAAGATCAAACACTTGGAAGAAAATCCTTAGATCCGGCTGGATACGAACCAACGTCTTCCAGTAAACCGTGTCAGACGCTATGCCGACTAAGTAAAGGAACGAACTAGCGGATTAAATTTTTTTCTGGATGCTCGTTGTAAGACTTTGTTTTTGTTTTAAATGACTTTTTTGCGCCATCTGTGAAAAATCTAGGTATGTCTTCACTTAGTTG